GGCTGCCTCCAAATGAGCACATTTAGGGGTGCCCTGTGCTCCCCCAACCACCCGCCGCCTGTTGGGGCAGCCGCCGGGATTGAAAAGCTCACTCCTTGCACCACAAACGTCTCGGCCCAGCGCACGGCGGTCACGGTGGAGCTCGGCCCTCCGAGCTCCCATGGCGGTGGCGTCCGGGCGCCTGGTCCTGCGGGGAGGCGGGAGTGGTGGGGGCAGTGCTGCAGGCTGCGTGCGTGGGGACGCAGCCCCTTCCCTTCTCCCCAGTGCCTGGGGCGGGTGCGGAGGTCATGCTCTCCCTGGGTGGGCATCGCTTCTCCTGGCAGCTGTTCCTGTAGCATGGACGCATCGTGCCCAGCCCGTGGGCCAGCCTCCTGCTGCCAAAACCCTTGAGCTCATCTTGGGTTCGCAGCGGTGCGCCTTTGGAGTGGCTGGAGGGAGGGCGAATGCTGAGTGGTGAGCCCAGCGCTGTGGGCTGAGGGGTTTCTGCCTCTGTCCCTCCAGAGGAGCGTGGTGGGAATGTCCATCCCCCTCCAAGGACAAGGGCAGCCAGCAATGCTGAACGACAGCAAACTCCAGCCCTAATTAAAAGAGGGCTTCCGCTGCCCCACACACGTGCTCGTGCCGCTGCCCTTTTGGCACCACTGTGGTGAGAGCTTGGCAAGACATGGAGAGGGCTGGGCTGTGGGTGTTGAGACAGTGCATCATTGCAGTGGGTAATGCTAAAACACCGGGTAGAAGGGTTAAAACCCAGCGGGGCTAAGCCAGCCAGGATGAGGGCAGGTTGGGGCGGCACATCGCCCTGTGCTGCACTGGCAACCTCGCCAAGGAGGGTCCCAGAGACAGCCAGGACCCAGCGCCCCAGGGTGAGCTCAACCCTGGCCATCCTAGGGCCGCTGCGGGGGCACACGGGGTGATGCTCGGAATCAGCACGACAGGGCGAGGGGCAGGGAGGCAGGGCAAAGCCGCCGCGCCGTTTGCAGGAGGCAGGATAACCCCGGGCTGACCCCTTTCACACACACCACACAACACCCCTAAATCAATTGCATCTTATTATTACAATATCAATATACAATATTCCTACAATAACACCATTGATTTTCTACTCAGAGGCTGCACCTAAGTCTGTTTTAAAGAGGAGGGAGTTAATAGTGCCCTCATTAAAAATCTATAGATTACCCCCCACCCCCAAAAAAGAAAAAGCAGTTTATATTCATTAGGGCTATTGAATATAAAGTAATATGTTTGTGTAGGACATTGGAGTAATGTGATAATCCGTCCGCATATCAGGGAGAAATCCACTTAGCAACCCTGTCAGCTTGACAAGAAAAATGTGCCCATAAAGTCGGGAATACATTGAGGGAGCGAGCGCGAGAAGAGCAGGGGCGCGCATGTGTGCGCGCCTGTGTGGCACCCACAGAGCCGTGCCGGCTGGCGGCGCGCAGCCACCTTCACCCCGTCCCCCTGCACAGGCCTGGGGACACAGGCGGGCGCCCCGATGGCCCCTGGAG